GAAATCAGAATCTTGAAGAGATAGCTCTACTCCCATGCTCACTGTAGTATGAATCCCAATAGCCCGGATGTGGGAACAACCTGAATGTCCATCCCTGGATGGATAGATAAGGAGAATGTGGTATATGTGTGCCGTGGAAATTTATTACAGAGAAATACATTCATTAAGTAAATAAAATTAAATTGTATCAAAAGAGAAGGAACTCTTGCCGCAGGCAACAATACGGATGAAGTTCGGGTTGGAGTCAGAGAGGTCAAGAGGGGGCTGGACTTCAGAGCCCCTGCTGGAAGGAGGTGGGACAGAGGTGGCCAGGAGGGTGCTCAGCTCTCGGCCAGTGGGGACCTCCGGGAGCGCCTGGCTATCATTCCCCTCGCTCTCTGCGCCATAAAATAATGAAGTCTCTTGCAATGCAAGATTCATATTTTAGCACCAACCTTTGCTGAAATTTAGCTATCAGCCGGTGGGCAGTTTATCCCCCAGGAGCCTCAAATGATTAACAGGCAGCAGGTGACAACTCCAGAATTTTGGGTTCACGCTGCATGTCAGGGGCTGCCTGCCTGGACGGTCCTCCCTGCAAGGGACCCCACTGTCATGCCATCCCTGAGTGTGCCCCAACAGCTCGTAACCATGGAGAAATTACACTTCGCGCACGGCCAATGCCTAGTGCTGGAGCAAGATCACTCAACCAGGCCCTCTGTGATGTCTTGCCAGGTCAATCACCTCCAGTCCCAAGCGAGGCATGTAGGTGGTTGGGCTCGCATGGCTCATTTGTCTCCTCTCCGTCTTCCTACCAGCAGGTGGACTCATGAGTAGAGGCACTCTTGCCACTTAATCGCTACATCACATGCACCTGGCGGGATCCAAACCTCCCATCTCTTCGCTTCTAAAATGCTAAAATGCAATGCTTTTTATGTTCTGTCTCCGGGATCAGAATGCACCTTATTCTCGCTGGCATCTTACTGCCTGCAGGCTGGGTTGCCTGGGAATGTGGTCATTCATGCCTGCACCATGACAGTGGCCATGCGGGATGCTGTCGGTGGCTCAAAAGAAAGCCCCAGGGACAGCAACGGGGCTCTCTTCACCTCCGGGAAGCAGACACTTGTGTGGGGAGATGGACAGCGTGAACAAGCAACATTTCCAAAGACTCAGAAGTGGGCTGAGCACCACGTAAGTGGAAAGACCACGCCTGGGACCGGTGGGTCTTCATTCACCAAGACTCTGGGCAGCATCAGGATAGTGTCATGTGGGAAAATGTGACCTCAGTAATTCAGGAGGCCAGACACTAAAAGTGGAGAAATTTTAGGACCATCTTAACCAGCTTCTTGCCCTTATATTTTCTTTTTTACGTATGTACAAAAGTGATATCTCATGGAGGAATTGATGTCCGAGACAAAAGTGTTATTTTTCCATAAGCATGAAACGAATATATTTTTTTTTTTTTTTATTTTAAAGATTTTATTTATTTATTTGAGAGAGAGAGAATGAGAGAGAGCACATGAGAGGGGGGAGGGCCAGAGGGAGAAGCAGACTCCCTGCCGAGCAGGGAGCCCGATGCGGGACTCGATCCTGGGACTCCGGGATCATGACCTGAGCCGAAGGCAGTCGCTTAACCAACTGAGCCACCCAGGCGCCCTGAAACGAATATTCTAACAGATAAGAAAGCAGTGGTCATAGTCACACTGAGGACATTTTTTTTTTTAAAGACATTTGTCCACACTGTGCTTGATTTACTTTTCAATGCAGACATGTCCTGCAGAATACTTACACGTAGGACATGAAAGACCATCGTTTTGCAAAAAATTTCACAAAATAACTGTTTTCACAGCAATGTGTGATCCCCATCAAATGTGTAAGAAATGCCTCTGTGATGAAATTCCCTTCTTGTATTGTCATTTACAATTTTGGAAGGCCACATGATTTTGGTAAAGGAATAAACCAGACTTGCCAAAACTCAGTTCCATCTTCAGAGACTTGAATAAAGCATTTAAAATATGGTAGGGGCTCCCGCATCAGGCTCCCTGCTCAGCGGGAAGCCTGCTTCTCCATCTCCTACTCCCCCTGCTTGTGTTCCCTCTCTCACTGTGTCTCTCTCTGTCAAATAAATAAATAAAATCTTTAAAAAAAATAAAATAAAATATGGTAGGGGGGAGAAGGGAGATACACAGTTATCAAGTAACACGACTCTGTCAACAGGATTTTCCAACTTGCATTCTTATTCTTTCATTTTTATTAGTCAAAACTTCTTTTTTTTGTGTGTGTTTTTAAAGCCCACCAGTGGCTCATGTCTATTAAATGGAAATACTTGAAAAATAATCTTTTTCTCTCT